ATAGTGAAATCAATGATTTAGATTTTGTATAAGTGGATTCTTACTCATATATATATATATAATAGTATATATTAGTTCTAACTCAAAAAGAAAATAGAGTCCTAACTTTAAAACACCACTTTCTAAAAATATTTTCAAAAGCCAACTATTATATTTAGTATTCTATTCATGTAAATCATATATATCAATTTCAACTTAATTGAATGTATATAACTAGTTCATTGATTATAAAAAATTCATTACCATTAAATATATATTAAAAAATATAAATTCCTTCATTGAATGAAACATTAAAAGTAAGGGTTGATATTTAAAAATATTCATTATAAAATGATGTTTTTTAAATTAAAACTTCAATTTTTATGAAAATTAGGACTAACAGATACTTTTCCCAGATTATATGCACTTTGCTCCTTACCCCCGACTATGTATGGTAGTCATGTGATTTATTTGTGTTGTAAAATTTTGAAGTCATTAGAGGTGTTCAGCAACGCTTAAAATGCGCTAACTTTAAAAGTATTATTCATCTTTTATAAATTTAAAATTTGGTTAAAAAAAATTAAAAAATTATCTTTTAAAATGGTTTTTAAACACTATTCATCTCTTTGTGTAGTATTTTCAAAACTTGATTAACACTCACTTAAAAAATTAATTTTTTTAAGTTTTCTTTTAATAAAATTTTAAATTTAGGGGAGACAAATAATATTTTCAAATACGTTTTAAATTTTGTGAAACACCCTAAATGTAAAAGTTGACTTACCACTTTTACCACTTATCATTCTTGTGAAAACTGGATATAGAGGCCGATGCATAAACATGCAACATTAAATCAATTATCATATAGATGAAGTGAACTTCCTTATGTTTAAATTGCATATCATCTTTTTCTTATATTTTGATATCAAATTTCTCATTTAACAATTGTTAATGGGAAATTTAATGTTTGAAACTCAGTATCAATTTAGTTAAACCCTTAACTTAGCTCCTTAGACTACTACACAGACCCTTAATTTAGTTCTTAAATTAACAAAATTTTTAATTTAACCCCTAAAATTTAACAATTTAGCTTTTTATTGGTCCTTCCCTTAACAATTTGCTAACTTGGCTCATTACTTAATGGGAGATGAATGACATGTACAAAATTTTTGAAAACCATAATGGACAGCGTGGTGAAAAAAAACCTTAAAAATGCTCCCTGTATTCTTAAAAATTAGACGTTTAATGGGTAAATTTTTTTCTCATTTATTTGTTGTTTTTAGATTTCTAGATTGCGTTAATGTTTTTCTTTCAATTTTACCGCACTTAAATAAATACAAAAACTCAAAAGCCAAATAACCTTAATAGCCTTTGCCTCGTTGTCATTTTCTATTCATCTTCTTGTCTACTCATAATAATTATTCTCTCTTCTACATTTTAGGATTATTTTTTTTCCCCTTGTGGTACTAATCCAGATCTGAAGTTTCCAACACTACAAGAATTCACTGTGTCACCAACGAGAAATCATGTCGGTAAAAGAGGGAATCTGGTTGGTGAAACAAAATTCCCACTTGGATCACGTCGGTAATGGGTTTGTCGGTGAAGCCGGGCTTGGTAATTCAATCACTGACGTAGATGAAAATCACGTCGATAAACACACTCCTCATTATCAACAAGAAACATCTTGTAAAGAAAGAACCGAAACAGTTCATTGGAAAGCATCTCTGGTTCCACGTCGGTAAATTACCAACAAGCATAATGTCTGCACATATAGAGGGGCCTCG